AATCAGCATGCTTCATGAGCTGACAAGTATAGTACAATACAGCAAATGGAATTTTGAGCAATTTTAAAAATTCATAAAAATCTAAAATAATTTTTTTGGAAAGTACAAGATTATATTGTCCAATTTTTGAGCAACTTGACAATCCCTCGTAGCCAGAAATTTGCCAAAATCCTATGGGAACCCTGACATTAATTTATTACTAAAATTACTATTTAAATGAAACATTATTCTTATAGGGCAAGTCCAGAATGATACAGAGAGTTTGTTCACTTATACTGCTGGAGAAACATCTGCAAATTACTCCAATCCAAACCATATTCCAGTATTTCTTGATCAAATTGATCCTGAAACTAGAGCAGAAGCTGAGAGAATATGTGGAGGGTCTGATAAGATTGAGTGCATTTTTGATTATAGTCAAACAAAAAATGTAGGATTAGCATTAGACACTCAGACAACAATAGAACAAAATGAACTGGAAAAGCAAATAGGAAGTGAGTAGATAGCAATATATACCTGTATCAGTTACTACAATGTCTTTTTTGTAGATAACTTACCTCCAGTGATTGAAGCTAGTGATAATTTCATGATAACAGTAGGAGAGACAGCATTATACACACTACACATCACAGACCCTGGAGACACTGTCAGTGTTACTATTGATGGAGAGTTTCCATACACACTTGATCAAAATGGATCAATATGGACACTTAATGTAACATTGTCTTCTTTAGTAAAATTTTCGTTTAATGTAATAGCAAGTGACTCATTGAATGCAACATCAGTAATAACTCCTCAAGTATGTACATGTATTTATTAAGTTACTGTAGCATGAAACATTAATTTGTTTATGACATTACTTTTACTATTTAGGTAAGAATTTGTGGCTGTCCTGCAAATAGAGGTAATTGTACTGTTGAAGGTGTTCAAAATGTTTCCAGCAATCCATTGATTTTGATTTGTGATTGTATTGAAGGTATGAAATTACTTATTATGTGACTTTTAAAATAAGGGTTTTGCCGTATATAATATTTCACTGATTTAGTTTGCTTTAAGTGAGTTTTGTTTCATCCAATAGCATATGAAGGAAATTATTGTGAGGATGATTTTGATGGTTGTACTGAAGTATCATGCTTCAATGATGCTACATGTTCTGATGTACCAGCACCTGGTACTGGTGCCATTTGCCCACCTTGTCCTAGTGGATACACTGGAGATGGATTAATATGTGATGGTGAGTACAGCCATTTATTGTTTTTGTTGTAATATTTATGCACATTCAGATATTAATGAATGTAATTCAACTGGTGCCAGAAATTGTTCTCATTTCTGTAACAATACTATTGGTAGTTATCAGTGTACATGTATGTCTGGATATGAGCTTCATAGTGATGGAAGATCATGCAATGGTAACATAAATAATTATAAATAAATTAACCTCTTAACTGAATGTGATAGAAATTAATGAGTGTGAAAGGCTACTTGATAATTGCCAGCAAGAATGCATGAATACTGATGGATCCTTCAATTGTAGTTGTTATGATGGATTTTTACTACAAAATGATGGTCGTAGTTGTCAGAGTAAGCTAGTAGTTTTAAATTTCTGCCTATTTTTGTCTTCAATTTATTTTTTATAGATGACCCTAACAGAGAATGTTTAGGTGATAATATGTGTGAGCAGTTTTGTGTTTATGATAATTACACAAAGACTGAAAATTGTTCCTGTCAAAGTGGGTATGATTTATCATCTAACATGGCAAACTGCACAGGTAGAAGGATTTGCTAAACAGAATCAATTACAACTTATAATCTCTTCATTCAGATATTGATGAGTGCTTAGAGACTAATCCTTGTACTCAGATTTGTATCAACACCATAGGAAGCTTTGAGTGTAACTGCTTAGATGGATTTCAACTCCAGTCTGATGGGTTTACTTGTACAGGTAAACTCAGTATGGCAACAATGGCATTAAATGCTCTATTGATGTTTTTGTTAGATATTGATGAGTGTCTGGTGCTAGGCTCTTGTCCAGAGCCAAGGATAAGATGTGTAAATAGCCCTGGAAGTTTTGACTGCTTCTGTCCATTAGGAACAGTCTTTCAGCATGGATCTTGCAATGGTAAAAACGAACATAAATGCTATTATACACATTAGTATATACTAAACTATCTCAGAATAACATGTAGTTTTGAGTTATCATTGTAATTAATAGAAATTTTGTTTAATTTTTTTAGTTATTGTTGATCCAGTTTCTTCCTCGAGTCTTTCATCTACTTATTTGTCTTCCTTATCTACAAGTCTAGGTTCATCTTTTTTATATCTTCTGTTTCATTTTCTCATTCATTAGTATTAGCCTCACCATCAGTAACTCCTACTCCAACTGTTCCAGCAAATTCAGGAGTGGTTGTTATTTTGAATGGAACCAATGCCAGCACTGTATGTAACCTTTTTATTAATCATTATATTGCTGATAATTTAGTAAAATATGTCATAGTACATGTATTCATTTTTGTTGAAGCTGCTTGACTAGATTATGGTTGACTATATTTAATTTTTAATAGTTTGATAGAGAGAGTTTCAAGAATATAACAGCAGAGGCTTTGAATGATTACTGTAGCAGTAATGAATGTACTGGTGTCTCTTCACAAAAAAGGAAAAGGTGCGGCAATAAAATAACTGTATTGACAAATAACTATTATACCATTTATTATTATAGGACAGCAACAAATACTATGATAGAACCTGATGATATAGTTATTACTGAAACAACTGAAACAAGTAATGGACTAAGAGTGATTTTTTACATCAAAGGACAGTCTGGAAATCCCATTGATCCTAATGCTGTAGTTGCAGCTATAAAGGCAAGCTAAAAATGGATTTATAAAGTTTTATTACATGAAAGTATTATTTTTAATACCATGAAAGTGATACACAAGCAGGGTACTGTAACACACTGTATGTGAGGCATTAAATTATTTTATACAGGCAGCTAATTCAAGATATGCTAACGCTGGGTTCACAATTGCTAGTCTTACATTACTAAATCCACCATCAACTACTATTGTAGTAACACCTACTACTTCAGCAACTCCTACAGATGATGGACTATCTGCTGGACAAATAGCAGGAATAACAATTGGTGTTTTAATTGGAACCTTACTCACGATCGTAATAATAATCAGTGTGGCCTGTTTTATATAGTAAGTTTACTTTAAGTCTATGTACTATACATGGAGAATATGTTCAATAGCTATAGAAAAAAGTCCAATAAGGTTTTAATGAAGAAAAATGATGATGAATTTGCAGTTGAAAATTTATATTATGAGCCTACTCCTAATCCTGAAGGTAATTCTAGCTTCAACTCTGATTGAATAATGAAGTCATAATTTTTAATTTTTGATTGAAATATAGGTTTGGTCAACAGTATGAAATTAAAATTTGCTCAAGACTTTGACAGGAATGATAAAAGTGAAAGTGACATGGATAATGTTATGAAGAAAAGAGAAAGCAAAGTTGAGAGTTAGAGTCTGAAGAAACTATTCTCTAATTTTTTTCTTGTGCTGAATTTATATTTAATGTTTTCATTTTAAATTTTTTCTAGATATTATTCTTTAGATATACTGCTAAATTTTTTTGTCTTGTTAATCTTTTGATGTTTTATAATTTCAAGTAGACTGTATCTAGACAGGTCACATGACAGCCTTGCTAAAAAATGGACTGCGTTTTCTTCTCAGTTTTTTTTTTGCTTCAATTGCTTGTTGGAGGTTCACATTTAACCAGTTATGCAGTCATCGCAGCAATTTGTGTTTGTTTCAATGGCACTAGGGGCAGCATTTGTATAGACTGATTACTGACACAAGTTGGACAACAAACTAACAAAGATGCCTGTGTCTCAGTGATCATCATGTACATTGTATGTAGAGAGCTAGGATACTAATTTCAATTCACTCATTATTTGTAGGTGCATGAGGTCTAACTGCTGCAGAAACTGATCAAGATTATGTGCTGATGTAGCATTTTAAGGTATGATTTTGCGGCAAAATTAATGGCTTTTGACATTCGTTTTTTGTACAATAATAGACTCTAATTTGGTTAATCAAATGAGACTATGTGGTCCTGCTTATAGTCAGTAATAAAAATTTGAAGGGCAAATTCAATTTTTAGTAGCTAATACTGAAGTTCTTTGCAAGTAGTCTCGCGTAGCCAGACCACATTCTCCATGCCTCCGAAGGCACAGAGGATGTGGTATGGCTATGCAAAACCACTTTGCAAGTACATCATGTGGAAGCACAATAGTACGATCTAATGTGTTGGTACTCCATTGAAGTTAGCAGCACATTTTGCAGCAGCACATTCTTCTTAAACCACAGGAATGTGCTGCTGCATCAACTGCAAAACCACAGGAATGTGATGCTGCAGAGCGGATGGCGGATGCGCTAGTTGATTAGCTACGGGAGACTACTGGTTGATGGATGTAGAATTCTAGATTTTTGAAACTCTATAGGACCAGACCTACACTTGGTTAATACTATTTAGCTATGCCTGGGATGTTGCTCATCTTAAGCTAAGATATTCAGTAATATTCTGCTTTGATGGAGGCTATGGCTCCAGGGTGCGGTACTAGTAGTAATAATAACAATAAGAAGAAATATCTATAGATTTACAGAATGAGGCATGTACTGACGGACCGGTTTTGTTTTACTCCTATTTGTACCTCTGTAGATGGACTGTTGGTTTGTGAACTAATTTTTTTTAATTATTGCAGAGAGGTTATCTTATAAATAGAACACTAACTATAGATTGTTGTGCTGAAATATTAAGGTGCCTGATAGTCCTTTTGTATTAATTCTTTAACGTAGCTATCAAAAAAAGTCACAAAATATTATTCTCTTGACCTACACTTTTTGTCCTATAAAAAAGAACAACAGATATTAATCTAGCAACCTTAAGTGTTCTCTTGACTTGCTCTTTTTGTCCTATAAAAGAACATCTTATAATCTATCGGTATAAACAGTAATTATGATCGCTCGAGCGCAGCAACCAGCTCCACCCGAGTTCTAATCCAGCCCCACCCTTGTTATAAGGCTTCGACCACAAAAATTTAATCAATTTGAAGTGAGGAATGTGCTGCTGCAAAATGTGCTGCTAACTTCAGCGGAGTTTGGTTACTCGCACTTATTTTTGAGAATCATTATTATTGACGTAGATATGTATATATACTTAGGCAGCTACTATTTTAGAATCATTCAGGGCTAAAGAATTCATTACATAACCTACTATGATTCATCTTGTTTCCAACACATTAATAGCTGGTGCTGCTCTAGTTTGAATGTAAGTTACATGTAAGTATCAGTATATCAAATACTAATGTAGTCTCGTCGCCCAGGTTATTACCACAAGACTAAAGGCACAACTTTGAACTGGACTTTACCAAAAGAGTAGAGATAAGTATTAGAATCCTACCATAGTGGCAGCTTCCACTCACCGGAGTTATAAAGGTCAGGTACTCTCCTTACAGTTCATTATGTATAGTTACAACGTCCTTATCACCAAAATGCAATCCAATATGAAACAGTTAGCAGAATTCAATAAAATAATGGTTCTTATGTCATGGTGAAGTTTCTGATAATTTGGCCGGATTTCCCACAACTTTTTGGCTTCTTGTCAGTAGATGTTATCAAAAATGATTAAGAAACAATTCTACATTTATATAATTTTTTTTGATTTGTAAACATGTTTTCATCTTGTTTAAAAAATTAGGTCAAAATTTGATTTATTAGAAAAATTTAGCTGATTCCAATCAAAATTGGCTTTTTTACAAATTTCTAAAATCACCCAAAAAATCATGTACTATTATCATTGTACTTTCAACTCATGAAAGTGATAATTGAAGCTAAATGGCTTTGATTTTATGTTTATTGAAAAAGCGTCAAATTAATATGCTTTGCTTTTAACTTAAATTACCTTATTAAATAACATTAGTACTCCACTATGCTTAGATCAATTTAAAAGTCATTTAAAATATGTATGTTTATGTAAGAATATTGAGTACATATGATTAATCTCACTGCTGTGTGCAGCACTAAATGTGGCACAACACTTCCACAACCCACACTATATATGAAAAATGTCAATACCATATACACTGCCATTAAGTAGGGATCAATGTATTTATTGATACATGTATCTTATTGAAAACTTCCAGTGGGAGTTAAAATAGCATTGAGTGATTCCATTTGGTACTTGTCATGTGACACAAGACTATGTACTTGTAAATCATGTGACTAAATTGCTTGGTCAAATTCCAGTGAAACAATGCATGAAATAGTAGATTTATATACTGTACATTAATATTGTATTTTTGACTCATTTTTTGTAGATCCACTCAGTAATAAGTTTAGATTAATAATGATGATTAGAAATGAAGAATAACATTTCTTTGAAAAGAATTCTACATCTTAAAGGTCAGTCATGTAAGTGTGAGATGAAATTACATGTATCAGCAAATTATAATGAATTCTTTGTGCAGTGATCTGTTTAATTGGCTAACTTCATTGGTTTGATGCGAGAGAAAGGCTGTCATTCTTCATTTGTTTTCTGAATCTGTGGCTTGGTCATTGACTATTGACAGAAGGATATTAGTACAGTTGTAATGTAAATGGTAAGTAGAATGTGTTAAATGCTAGAAGACCTATAATTTGTTATATTTGCTAATTTTTGCAACACTAACTTGTTTAAAGCACTTAGTCTTAAGATATATGCACATGCATATGTATTGGGATTATAAGACAATTAAAATGTCACTTAGCCAAACTGTAGACACACAAGTTTGCTAGCAGTAAAATGTATATAGTGCTAGACTTAAGGCCTCTATACCATAATGGCAAATGGGCAATAGAATAATCTAGAATTTTTGCCAGGTCTGCCTGATTATATGCATAGTAAGTTTTTGTTTTCATCTGCATTTTAAAATTACTAAATAATAAAAAATTGTGAACAAATTTGAAATAGTTTAATCACTTTAAATTTTTATTTTAAGTGTGTGATGTTTTATATTTATCTAACTTTGCATTTGATTTTGCACTTTTAATGTATCATGTTGTTTTTCTTAATTTTATTTAGATGAAGTTGTCAATCTTTTCAGCTCTTTTTTGTGTGCTAGCTTTAATAGTCCAAAGTAATATTATTTATCATTAATTTTAACAACTTACTTTTAACAGGATGTCAGTTATATGCAGATGCACAAGCAGATTTGCCGCCATCAAATACAAGTAAGAGAGTTTTATTCTTATGTATCAGTTATTGAGGCATTAAATTGCTTCCCTGAATATAGTCCCTATATTTTGTTGTAGACACAGTTGAACACCTGCAGCTAGAGTAAAATATTGGCTGCTCAATTTCTTACATATTTTACCACTATGTATAGTACCTCAATCCCTTTATAATCCACCAGTAGCATGATCTCATTCTTTTATCAATGTTATGTGTCATAGAATCCCATTCAATACATGCATGCATACAGATGTACCTTCTTATAATCACTGAGTCATAATACAACAGGTCAGTTATAAAGCAACTATATTCTTCTATTTAAGAACACGTGACTGAAGTAGGCTATATATGAACAGTGTAGCCTATTGTCTCAATCTCATTGGGAATGTGTTCTGGTCAATTACCCCATACTAACAATACATAATGATCCACACAAATGGCATGTGTGAGGCATCTGTCCACCCACACACACCCTTTCTAGAAGAATCTAATAGAGCTGTTGCATGGATGTAATTAACGGGGTAGGCGGAGCTTCCTGTCGGCCATCTTGAGTGGCAAGAATGTACACACAATGAATGGAGGGATGGAAACAAACTGCTATTTTTCATCAAAGAGATATCATACTTCGCTGTAGAATATTATAGAGACTTCTTTACTCAATATCTTCATCTCCTACCTTGCATTAGCCTGGAATGTCAACTGTAGAATTTATTTAATTTTTTTCTCCATTCCCCCATTCATTCTTTGCCTTCTTGCCACCCAACATGGCGGACAATTTAGCTCAATTTTAGCCACACCCTCCCGTTGATTACTTCCGTGCAACAGCTATTATGACAATGGTGTAGTCAATATTTTAATAATTAAAAGAAAAACTTAACTATACGAATGTAAAACATTAAAGGGGCGAGCCAAAGCAAGCCTTTGTACTGTGATTCTTATGAGCAAGCTAAGCAGTTGCCATGCCTAAAGTACATGGTCATCATGATCTTGCTTTAAAATGTAACATCACTTCATCACTAAAGAATCTCTGCAGCAATTACAGCATTGAAGATAGTTAGAAGCAGTCACTGAACAAATCATATTTTATGAAGATAGCCTTTCTTGCTGCTCAGAATAAACTGCAGTTAGTCTCACTGGCCACTGAGACCATTCCCCAGCCTGTCACTGCAGGCCGGCTGCTCCTCATTGCATTTATCTCATTGAGTCCTTTCTAGTAAGAAATAAAACTGTATTTCCAACGTTCCTTGCTGCTAAAGAAGTCTTTGGACAGCGCTTAGTCTTATCTTGCTGACCGCTTGCTGATAGCCGCCATTTTATTTCATAGTGACCACAGTCACCACACCCGCTTTACCTTGAGCCTACTATTATTTGCGTCTACTAATTTTAGCGAAATCAGCAAAAGCCATGTTTAGCGTTACTAATTTTAGCGTTTTTAAGCAAATTAACTATAAATAATAACCATTATAATGAATAATAATTATTTTGGCGTCTATTTAATTTAGCGATTTAAAGTTCTCTCGCTAATATCGCTAAATTTAGTAGACGCTAAAAATAGTAGCATTAAGGTAACTCAGTTAAAGGAAAATCATGCTGTTTAATCTAAAATAAATAAAGTGTTGCACTAATTGGCAGTATCACTGAAAATAATCAAATTAGTAATTTAAAACTTTAAAAAATTTAGTCAGGTAAGCTCTGCTGTAATATTAACATGATAATTCAAACATAATGTGGAGGGGATTATGGACTTTGTAAGTTCTGGCTTGCTAGAAGCACTTAGCAGCAGTGGCATAGCCAGGGTTATGATGGTGGTAGGGCACACTATGGACAAGTGAACTTCACATACAATTTATAGACAAGAGAACAGTCAGAACACTATGACAGTTGGTGGGGCACAAGCATAGACTGGTAGGGCATGTGCCCCACTGTGCCCTACCCTGGCTACGCCACTGCTTAGCAGTATAAATCTATGTATTACACATTGATGAACACACACATACATGCATGAAGTGTATTTAGACTACAAGAATCAAAGAAGATATTGTTAGAAAAAATAGCAGTGTAGTTTATTAATCTAAATCAAAATTTTTATAACCATTTTTAGCAAAAAGAATGATTATCAATCATGTTATTACTGAAAAAGGTAACTGACCTAAAATTTGATTTTTTAAAGCCAACTATTATAATAATGCTGAAATCATTTGTCTGCAAAAATTGGCAAAAAATAAAGTATGCATTTTGTGCTTTTTGATTGGCTTATACTGAGTACTCAGTATTGAACCAAAATGAAAAAGTATGGTCTACTAGGAAAAGTTATTTCATGCTCTAAATTTTTGGATATTAAGAAATTCTTTTGTGTATGCACATCAAGGAGTTAGTGCTATATAGCTAGCAAAAATAATTTTTGGAAAAAATTTGTGCAAAATTGGCCAAGGCTATAAAATTGATTGTCCTATAACTCCTATTTAATTTATAAAATTATTATACAAGACAAAAAATAAAATTGATAGGCTGCCAGGCAAGTGGGATTTTTGGCAATTTTATTATCTGATCTCCCAGTCCCACCACACAAAAATTCATTTTTGATTGAAGCCATTTTACAGCAATAGACAGTATACCTAAATAATTTATTTACTCTTGAAATTATGCATTTGCAATGATTGTGATAAGGTTATTTTATTCTTTTTTCTTCTTTTTGGTTATCCTTCCTTTACAGATGCTTGGAGTACAGCTGGAAATACTCATATTGTTGGTATATTGCCAATGAGAGCTTCACCATTCATCTCACTTGTCATTACAACTTCTGAAACAGAAACAGTGAATTTTACTGTCAGCTCTCTTTCTCAAAGAATAGCTAATGGCTCAGTTACTTCTGGTACACCAACACACATCAGTGACAGTATATTAATATCCTATGCTGTTAGTAATGAGTCTGATCGATATAAAGGTATACTGGTATCAACTGGAACAGACAAAACACTGTCAGTAACTGTAGTAATGATGGATAGTTTTAATTCGGCAGGAGTGTATGTTAACTATCCAATTTCAGTATGTACTGTGAATAATCATAGTTATGTGTATTATGCTGTGTCTATTGGTACAACTGAAACAACCTCATTCTCATCTCTTCTAATAGTTTCTGGTAATAATAATACCAATATAACAATCACACCAACAGTGACTGTGACTATACCACCCAATCTCACTCAATCAGGCCATCAGACAGTTCTTAATGCTGGACAATCAATAACAATACAATTACACTACCTGGAGACACTGTTGCTCAAACCAGTTGTAGCATTGGCTGATCTAACAGGAACAAAAGTTGAGTCCAGTAAACCACTATCTGTCTATTCTGGTCATACGTGTGGTGTCATTCCTCCTGATAGAGATGATTGTGATTTTGTTGGTGAACAATTACCACCAGTAGTCTCATGGGGCAAAGAGCTCCTGGTTCAGTCATTTTATAATCGTCAATCTGGTTACATATTGAAAATAATTGGATCACAAAGTAATACTAACATTGATATAACGTGTGCTGATGGTAGCAATTATTTCCTATCCCTTCAAGAAGGTGGTGTACTCAATCAAACTGTATCCCAAACTAGTTGTTACATCAATTCAACTAGCCCAATACTTGTAGCTCAGTTTGTACTTGGATATTTTCGTTATATGTATGAACCTGGTGATTCTGCTATGACAATCATTCCTCCATTACATCAATATGGTAACAATGTAACTAGTTTTTCTCTCATTAGTCTATTGGGTGCTCCTGTGTCTGTGAACCTTGTTGTGCTTGCTGCAGATGAGTCATCACAGATACAATTGAATGGTACAGTTCTTCCATCCCTCACATCAAGCTCATGGAAACGTTACAATAGTTCTGTTGGAGGTTCTTATGTATTTAACAGCACTATTATAGAAGACATAGATTTTGGCGGTAATTATATTGTTGAGATTAGAGTTTGGTCTAATAACAGTAACGACAAAATATTAGCAATGGTGTATGGTTTGGGGAGACTTTTTGGTTATTCTTACACTGGAACTTTGAACCAGAGTCCAATTGAAGGTAATTACAGAAAATTTCAATACTATAATTCAGCATGTATGTATTAGCCCTGTATGTGTGCAGAGAGTTGATGTTAGAGTATAAATTATATAAACCTTACATACTTAGGAAATTAAAATACAAACAATGCACCTCTCATACACAGCTACAAGCCACATTTATTTGTATATCATTGAAATCATTGCATCTAGGCTTTAAGTTTTATATGCATCAATGCTAAATCATGCCACCAAGTGTGAAAATAGTCTTGTGTAGTCTATTCCTCCTCATAGGCATATAGCTGGAGGAGATGGCTGGCTATGCAAGAATATATAGTGTGTATAATTGCATAAGTGTACATATATATATATGTATTGATACTAAATTTGACATCAGTCCAAGTTAAAAATTTATTTATTAAATTTCATTTCAATTCCTTTAATAGCATACGAAGGAGAATATTGTCAGGATCTAAACTCCATAGTCCCTAATACTCCACCAGTCATAGAAGCTAGTGATACTTTTATGATAACAGTAGGAGAGAAAGCATTATACACACTACATATCACAGACCCTGGAGACACTATCAGTGTTACTATTGATGGAGAGTTTCCTTACACACTTGATCAAAATGGATCAATATGGACACTTAATGTAACACTGTCTTCTTTTGTAGAATTTTCCTTTAGTGTAATAGCAAGTGACTCATTCAATGCAACATCAGTAATAACTCCTCAAGTATGTACATGTATTTATCAAGTTACTGTAGCATGAAAGATTAAATTTTTTATGACATTACTACTTTTATTATTTAGGTAAGAATTTGTGGTTGTCCTGCTGATAGAGGTAACTGTACCTTTGAAGGTGTACAGAATGCTTCCAGTAATCCATTGATTTTAATTTGCAATTGTATTGAAGGTATGAAATTACTTATTATGGGGCTCTACGAATAAGGATTTTGCTGTATATAATATTTCACTTATTTAGTTTGCTTTTTTATTCACTAGCATACAAAGGAGATTATTGTGAAGATGATTTTGATGGTTGTACTGAAGTATCATGCTTCAATGATGCTACATGTACTGATGTACCAGCACCTGGAACTGGTGCCACTTGCCCACCTTGTCCTAGTGGATACACTGGAGATGGAATTGTTTGTAATGGTAAGAATATTATTGTACCTGTACTCATTGCTTTGATTGGTAATGTAATAAAATGTTAAAGTAATTACATGTTGCATTCTATGCATTGATTACTTTATAATTGTAGCAAGCAGAGGTGTAGTATTATTGCTAGATATGCTTTTGTATATTTTATCATGATGATGGCAAGAATTGACTGTTATAATTGTCATTTTTGTAGTTACATTAGTCACTCTTCCCTACATTTTGTTCAACAGCAGTATATCAGAAGTAACTAACATAACCAGACATTACCTTTACTCTACATGGAGAGTCAATGCTCCAAGGCCTATTAATTTATTAGGTTCTGCTTATTCATCAATTTATGTGAGTTTATGAAAATGATAGTATACAATTACTAACAAGTTTAATTGTTCTAGATTTCCATTAGTGGCACATTTTCCATGAATGGACGTTTTAACTATTTGTATTCAACCTTGTTTCCTAGTAGTACACATGGTATAAGAGATTCGGTTGTGTTTGCTCCTATGTGGAACTTTTATGACATCAGGAGAGAAGGTACATATGTACTTGTACTGTTATATTTATGTGAGATAAAAAATATAATTCTTTAAATGCAAATTTGAGCTAAAAATTGTTAGTAATAGCACATTGTTAATCAAATATATAATTGAATAAGAAATAAATTATCAAAATACTACCCCTCACAGTGTAAAATGTCAAACACAAAAATTGAAATTTTTATATTTTTCCAATATATGCATGTATACAATATACTTAAGTTGCATAGTAAATTTGAGTTGATTTCAATTAAATTTGGATTTTTATAAATTTTTAATTTGCTAAAAAAATTAGTTCAAAGTCTCTGTACTATACAAGTATAGGGATGTTGTCTAAATTTGAAAGAGATTTTTTTGTTTATATACTTTTCTCTGATAATTGTACATATTTTTATGTGGTGTGGAAAAATTGAGCTGATCCTGATCAAATTAATTTTTTATGAACTTTTATAAAAGTTGGTAAAAATCTCTGTATTATATAGTACAGAAACAATGGCCAATTTTTTAGACGCAAAAAGGAGAGAATTATCTATTAATTTTTAAATTTTCCCTGATATGCATGTTATTGTGTTATTTAGAAAGTTTGAGCTAATTCCAACGAATATGAATTCTATCTGAATTTTTATAATGCCTAAAAATTGGGTCAAAATATCTGTATTTTGCCAAAATTGAACAGGAGACTACTTTGAATTTAATTTTTTTATTTTTGTAGGAAGTATTTCATATCAGACCTTCAGTTCAAACAACCCATTAGCTAATGAGGTATTCAATGATGTTAACAGTTTCATTAGAGCAAGTAAAAATATCACATCATACAAAGGAATATGGATGCTAGTTATGGAGTGGAAAGATGTCCATCCTTACCCTCATGGATCATACTATTATTATTACTACTATTATTATAATGAAATTCTTGAAAAAGTAAGAATGATTAATAATTATTTTTATTTTATGTATTTTTAGCACAACACATTTCAAGCTATTCTTACAACAGATGGTTCTGATACTCATATCATATACACATACAAGTGTGGTGATATAATGTGGGACAATTACTACTCAAGGTCTGTTGTTGGATATAATATTGCTGGAGGACGCTATGAGAATCATCGTGGATCAGGAATACCTGGAGAACTATTGAAATTAGGTTGCAATGATGATATGAATCAACCAGCAAACTACACTAATATTGTATACTCATTCCAATCTGATGAAAAAAGTTAGTGATTGATTTTTTTAGTTATTTGAGACATTATGCTTATTTGTAGGTCCTTTTGAAGCTCTTTGTCTAGAAAGATATAGAAATGATTTAGAACTTCCAGAAATTCCATTAATTTTTGCAATTCCTTGTCCTTGCTCAGCATGGCAAGTGTGGTTTGACAGAAGTTTCCGTTTCACTTACTATTATTACTCTGACACTCAATATGTTGAATGCTATTCTAACAGATTCTCTCAGTTTTATCAAAGCATGTGTTGCTACAGGTATGCATACAAAACAACATTTATACTGAAATTTATAACTTTACTTGAACATTGTATTATGATTTGGACTTTTGCAGCACGGTTGTTGAT